ATACAGGCTTCCTTGAAAACATAACCTAATTCCTTATTTCATACTAGAGCAGGTATTAGAGCAAGTGACTTGTTCGGTTGTGCGTGCCAAAAAAAGGCGTCACAATCCTTTATTTTTTCCTTCTTCTTGTGCCTTATTTCATACTTTCAAATCTGAACTTAACTGTACTCCATTAAAATGTTCTTTACAAAGGTCGTACTGAATGAAACCAACAACAGGCTCTTATTCGGTTAACGCACTATATTTTCATAAGAAGCTCTTGAAAGCAGAGCAGCACAAGAAACGTTAAGAGGATGTACAAGTCTGCGAAGCATAGACTAAATAATTCTAACACATCTAATATTAACTCTGTACAAATTCATGTTTTAGGCTACAAATAATTCTAACACATCTAATATTAACCCTGTACAGATTCATGTTTTAGGCTATACTATCATCATAGTCATTATTAGCCCCATTATCATCGCCTCTATGTCCTACTGCTCCTTTTTTCCCAACACTCAAAATTGATTTTTCTGTCATATTCTGGGTATACCCACGTGACCTTCCTCTTTATACGTTGCTGCCTACAATTCTCTGTAGCATCTACACAGAAGCTTCAATCCTTCATTCATCCAAGTGTTTCCTCCATAGAACTACGTAGACATACGCTTTAATGTAACGTACCTATGACGAAGAGAAATGATTCTGCTTACCTGATACAATTTATATTATTTACAGTGCACTGAAATTTCATTGGCCGGTTGATTACTTGAGTGTTTCGTGTTTCTGTTTTGTTTCCGATAATAGAACTTTAACAGAAACTAAATCCACAAAGCAAAGTCCTTCTTTAAAAGCTAGTAGTCACTCAGCTGGCAAGAAATTCTCAATGTTTTCGGAACGTTTTCCCAAAAGCCCACCACTAAGACATTTCCTTAGCATTTATATTGTTCCAAAGAGCACTTACCAGTACGAAGCCATTCGTAGTCTTTCAACCCTCATCGGCTCTCCGCCACTGCTTATTCTACAAGTACACATTCACGTCGACCCTCGACATGTGGAGGTCATCTCATCCACCTGACGATACGCCATGCTGTGGTAACAAGAGACATAGTTACTAAGGATCTTGATGAACACTTTGATTACAAGTCTAAAAACGGAATTACTTCAAGTCATCGTAATTGCATAAAGTAGACATTAATACACCAGGATGTGGCCACTTAACATTAAGGCAAATAAAGTTTGCACACTCGTACACACGCTGGATATATAATGAAATAAAATTTTGTCACAGAAAAAATTGACTGTTCTCTATAAATTAAATAAAACTGCCAACGCTGATAAAGTCAGAAAACATTACTGCCAGAAATACTGAGTCCTTTATCAGTCGCAAATCCGCGTTTAACATTCCAACACACACACAGAGATAATTATAACAATCAATAAAAGAAAGAATTTTAAACATTTCTGAGATTCAAAAATTCACAGCAGTGCTCTACATATCTGTGAGAGTGATTCATTCACTGCACTTTAACTACGTGAACCTAGCTCACTTTAACATAAAATACATTTCGGTAGTCGTATCAGTTAAAATACAAGATTGTTATTGAGGTGATTGTGGTTTCAGCCGCTGCCACAAATGTCGAAAATACAAAATTAATAAGCTGATGGACAAACGGATGTGATCCCCTCTACGTAGCTTCATTTCTTACATTTTGTGAAAGTAACACATAAAAATAAGCGGTGGTATATAGATATAGCACAAAATATAAGATGTCTCATTCCATACCACACCCATACTAAGGAAATAGAGGCTTCACCCCGCAGATGGCAGTACAAATAGCGGAGTAAAACGTGCAAACTTAGTGCCTGTAATAAGTGTAAAGAATTATATAGCTCTATAAAACTTCCATCTTGAGAAACTCGTTAACGAAACATGTTCATGCCTTCTTCAATTGCAGGAGCAGCTTCTGTTCCTTCGTTGGGTTTTGCCTGCACATATATATATATATATGTACACAGTGAGCAATAAGTACCTTAAAAGCATGTACAAAATTAATGTCGTTAAATATAATCAATTACATACCACTGTAATATAACCAGACACGATATGGTTTAGTGACTATAATAATTTGGTGTGGCTGCCAGCTGTAATGCGACAGCCATTTCATAAAAGTATAATCTATTCCAGCATATCCATATCGGCCATATTACATGTAATGAATTCATCCCAATTTTTTTTTTAAAGAACGCGATCCCTGAATGTCGTTTATTTAACGAGTATTTATTAAATTAAAATCAGTCTCCTACAACGCAATAAGTAGATAATAAGAAATGCATTAGGTCTGACTACTACAGTAGTAGATATTTGGCGACCAAAGGCACGTGCAAAAATTTTTCTATAGAAAAGTAATGTGTAGTAGTCATATATTTATTACAATTAACTGCAATTAATTTGAAATGCTGCTGACAAAAACAAATGTATGTTATAAAGATGAAAGGGAATGTTGAAAAAATGAGGGTGACTGAACACGAAAATCATTAGCGAACACAACAGGATGCTACATAATCGTAAATGATAGGAGTTTATGGCTTATATTTCGCTTGGCGTATTTTCGTTGTAGCTTGTTTTTTGTTGCTGTGAAAACTCATGACGTGTGTCGAAAAGATGATATTTACATTTGAAAAGTATTAGAGTGAAGTTCATGAAACCTGCCTTTCACTTCGTTCTCATATGTTTGTAGCCTATAGATGGCTTTTTGACAAATTTCATAAAAAGGATATTCATTGATGTCGAGGTAAGCGAAGAGGGTAGGGAATTCTTCAACACCTTTGATACACTGACCCAGAAATTTTACTTTTAGATATAATTTTCCCTGAAGAGGCTGGTGTAGAAATCGTGTAGATCTACCGTAAAATGCTTCACTTCCTTTATGCCGATAGTCAAGATCATCGTACAAGGACGTTGCATTATTTAAAAGCAATGTGTGCCTCCAAATTACGGCACAGAATTTCAACAAATATTAAAATGATGATGTCGCCACTTAAACTTAGTTTTTATAGCTATATTACTGTGCTTGAAAGTTCTTAAGTTGCATTGTACTTACTTTGTACATATTTTAAACAAAGTTTAAAGCGTTTCATTGCTCTCGCTGCTGAAACCACAGAGACATGCTGCTGTTGTAATTAAATATGAGCTTCTTTGTAATCCTACTAAGAAAATAACATATTTTCAAGCAGAAACTTTTTACTCAAGAAAACTTACACATAAAATTTATAATACAATATTTAAAACTTTAAAACAGTATGAACCACAACTGCGATGGAAACAACCAATATCAGATGTAATTTAAATGCTTCCAGAAGAAAATTCAAAGAATAAAACTTCAATACGTCACAAAAACCCGGAGACTGCATTAGAGTAACGACTAGCAATTTAAATGGGCAGCGATTCCATACATTGGCGAAGTAATTAGACTTATAAAAAACCTATTTAGAGGTTTCATGTGAAGAAGCGTTGAGAATATCGGACAGTTTTGGAAACAAAAAACATAAACCACGATGAACTATTTACTGACCTACAAATCGAGAGTGATATTTACAACTGTTGATGTTATGGGTGCTCCGGTGTTAAACTGAACACGGAAGGCGTACATCCTATTAGGACAGACTGAAGATACATAGGCTATCGGCAGAAACAAAGAAAATTCAGGCTCCGTCCACCTCATTCGAAATGTGGCGAACTCATAATCTAAGCTGGAAGTTGTTCTGGAATTTCTCAACATCCAGCGAACTCATACTCTAAGCTGGAAGTTGTTCTGGGATTTCTCAACATCCAGCATGAGGTACAGAACTCATACTCTAAGCTGGAAGTTGTTGTGGAATTTCTCAACATCCAGTATGAGGTACCGTTTCCACAAGTGTGTAGTGGCACCAGTAAGTATCGACCTTTCATTCATCAGCAGACTTTCAAAATGAGGTCTATATTTATATTACCTCTATAGTTTGTCTGTACATTTTTATTATGTATTAAGTATTTCATAAAGTCACTTGTTAGTATGCAAGCCAGACTGTATTTTATTTACTAATATATTACATAATTTACATAGATTTCCGGAATACAACTGCTTGGCAATATAGCTTGAATATAAGAGAGCGTGATAGAAATAAAAACAGTCTAAGAATCTGTCCACACTGCAATAAAGTTTTGTTAATTAAACTATGAACTTTCGCATCTTCTCCACCCGTTCAAGAAGTTTTGCACATATTTCCTTACTCTGAACTTACAAAACTTTCATTGACTACTTATGATTTCTGGTCTACCAAAAAATTATGCCGCTTTTATGACTTTGAAAATCCTGTGGTGTCTGCAGTGGCACCAGGAGTAAAACGGATGCAGAAAGAAGAGGGGTCGCTCGATTCATTGTTCCTTTAATTAAACGAGATAATTACTTTCGCTAAAGCTACTCCTGGTTCCTCTCAACTCACGGATCGACGTCACGAGGAAATTTCTCACACTTGGGGTTGCTTCCTGATATTGCCCCTTTGAACCCTCCGAATATTTCCCTTTCATCCCTTTCAAAGTCTTAGGAGATATGAGTGCTAGCCCTTATTAGTTATTGTCAGTGACGGCACTTTAACACGCTCACCCTCCGCACCTCTCGGTCTGACCTCACGAGTTGTAGTGAAAATCGCCCGATATGAGCTGCTCCTTCACGCAACAAGTGTAAAGATAATTGCTATAATCGTATATTAATATTTATCGCACAGGCGATAAAACTGCTTACTCAGTTTCGTTGATGCTTGATATCATTAGGTTCCCTAAGGTTACGACCTTTTATCTTCCTGTCTGTTATCTACAAACGTAAGAACTAAAATATGCAAAAACAATAATTCTATTTCCCGCTTTAATTTATCTGGCTCGGGATAGGACACTTTGACGAGCTCTTTTGAACACGGCAATGAACTTTTAGTTCTCATAAAAGAAGGAAATTTCTTGTGTAGCTGAGCGAATATTAGCTTCTCAAGATGGACTCTGCTCCGTGAAATGATTTAGGGTTCGATGCTAACAAAAACAATCCGTTCGATAGCTCTCAGTGCACGCGGATAATTATCAAATATAGTCTATACGCGTTTAGTACCTACACATTACATATTAACTTAGTGGAAAGAATGAGAAAATTGTGAGTAATTAAAAACACGTACTCAGGGTCAGCGCTTATACAATTTTTATTTGCATTACAGTATGGTCCTTCTTTTGTTGTAGACAAATTTTATTCCAGAGAACAAAAATGTGTTGATCCAATCGCTTTTAAGGCCGCGAAGAGATATATTTCACGATATCGATTAATAACGATAAGAAAGATGGCATGATATCGAAACACGTTACTCTCCTTGGCTATTAAAATTTAGCAATTGGTCGACCATCTTTGATGTCACCACATAATATGAACCAAAAGACAAACGTTGTAAATCAAATAGTTAATTTTAAATACAGTGCATAAAATAGGCTGTAAGCTAGAAGAAAACTTTTCATCTCAATGAGTATACATTGCTTAAAATTTAATGTATAAAAGTAAGAGGTTCCTAAAAACGGTAAATCGGTAGAGAATCTTCACACTTCTCCTGTGGAAATCCTACAGGAAGACTTGCTATTGAGGAAGTAGCGGAAGACAGCGGTCTTCTGAGTTTAGTGAGGTGTAGTCTGGTACAACCCAGAAGACAGCCATCTTCGTGTGCAAAAGCGCGAGAACCTCAAATTCGACTAAGGAAAGAGAAGGTCTTTTAATCAAAGGTCATCTGCACTTCCTATAATGTTGCATCACTTCATGTGACAAGTCAGTCTATGTTTTATAACTGACCAAAGACGCCTCAGAAAGTAAAATTTGCATCCATTACATGGTGTCCAAATTAGTTATTAATAATTGAATTCTTATGAATTCTGGTAAATATAAAATGAGTGTATTCCGAGTAGCCCCTTAACAATTAATAGCCGTATAACAATTTTTAACCACATAATTTCTCTGGGGATTCTCTCCAGCCGCCTATCGTCGGTTCAAAATAGGCCCACATGATCCCTGCCTATTGTAAGGT